TCCACAGGGTATGCATACTTCTAAAGCATTTCACATTTTAAAGTATGCATACTATATAATTTTGTTGATTTTTTTTCATTTTGGTAAAGGTGAAACTCAGAATTTTGTGTAGAAAATATTCTATCAATTACTGTTGTAAATGTCAGAGGTTTCACTTACCCAGAGAAGTTTTATAACTTATTTTTTGTTTGCCCTTTATAAATATGAATAACATAAATTCATTACAGTATGCAATGTAGCATTATTATTAATTTCGTAAAATGTAATGCCATTTTATTCTACAATATATATTTAGTAATCTCATAGCATATAACTGCATATATATTGTGTTGTAGGCCTAGCTATTCCCAAATGTTGGACTAATGTATTCATTCAGGCAGCAAGTTAATCTATCATTTAAGGAAAATGGTATGCTTAATATTAGCTATAAACCATACAATATTCCTGATACAAGATTTTTGAATTATTCTGATAATAAAACTAACAGAAGAATTGAAAACATGTATATGCATTCTATGTTAAATGTTTCAATGCATTTTTTTTATTTCACCTTCTTAAAACACAAATTACTTTCAATAATGGTATTTCCTGATTTTCTTATATTTTCAGAATTCATTTTATCCAAAAGAACATTAAGTGATGGAAATGATTTGCACCTGCCCAGCATTTCTACAGTCTGTCATTGGATTTGTAAACAAATGTTTATTAAATAAATTTCTAGATAGATAATAATTAGACTTTTTTATATATACAATGTCTACTGTACAGGTGTTGAAAAGGCCATTAAGATTTGAAAATCTTAACTTGCATAAATATTTTGTATGGAGAGCACTGATGTCCATCAAGATCTTATTACCAGCATGTACACTGTGTTCATTTATTTTGCAATAATATTACCGAAAACAGGAGACTAGATACCCCCCTGATTGATTCAAAATAAGATAGGGGACTATCATTTGATTCTGAGGGAAGGGGTTGGCAAGATTTTCCAAGTCAGATTTTTTTTATTTTCATGTCAATGAAGGACAGATTAATATTTATTTCCGATCAATAAGATGAAGGACAGATTATTTATTTATTTTTCTCTTCATTGAAAAGTCTTACATGCAAAAAAAGAAATTCAAAGCTCTGATTCGTGGAAGGAGGGAGGGGATCACTGATCTGCAAGTATTTATTTCTTAAATCTGCCAGCCCCTCCCCCTCAAAATAAAATGGCTGTCCCCTTAACAAATACAGGAGTATATCCTAATCCTAATTAGTTCCAAAAACATAAATTAGTTTAAATCCCTTAACAGTAAGCGGTATGTTTGAAAGCGATCGTAGAACATGATCTCGTACATGCAGAAAGAAAAGAAAAAAAACTAGAGCAAAGCTCGTTGCAAAGCAACGAGTGGGTCTTCCTTCTTAGCAATAAGTAGAAAGTGAAATGTTCAAATGTTAACTTTGAGACCATTCTTTATTTCTTTGACTCAAACAGCAAAAACCTTTTCATAAAGTGGAGTGATCATAAGGATAAATAATCTCTCCAACACCAGAAACTGACCTACAAAATTTATACAACCTCATTTTTTGACTTGTGAAGTCATTGTTGAAAAGAAATATTTTTTTCGATTGTATCTGATAATGAAGATAATTCAAAACCGAGTATTTTTTCATTAGTAGTGGTGTAAATCATAAAATATGCTGGGGTTTGTTCTACGCGAAATTTTATGTAAGCGATAAATGTTATTTTTGAAGGTGATTTCCACCAGATGTCAACAAAGGATTATTATTTGTGTGACCTAACAATAGTTATTTTTTTTTACTTTTTAATTTTGATATCTTTGTAAAAAAAAAAAAAGAAACCGGGAATATAATTTGCCAAAAATTGTAGCTATTTAAAGCCATATATGGCATAACTGATCCAAAAATATATTTTTGAAAAATACAAAATTAAGTAAAGAAATATAGTTAATACATCTAAATTAAAGCTTTTCATACAATTCTGAACATGGAGAACACCTCCATTCACCTAATAATACAAATATATCTCTATTATGTGTAATTTAAATCTTTTGTATTTTTTTCTTCCGAGCCGGAGAAAATTCCGAGAATCCAAATTAAATTGTGATATCTTTATAACGCAACTGACTTAGATTTTGTAATATACGGAAAAGTTATATCTTTATATAAAGTAATGATACAAATAATAAGTTCTTATAATTTTAGTCTAATAATTTTCATTGTACATACGCCATATATGGCTTTATTATGGATAATTATTTTTTCATGAACAGAATGGAAAATAGTTTTAGCGATGGGAATCGGACCAAGTGGCTTTAAAATATATGGCTCAAAGATTTATAAGGGAAAGAGACATTCCATTTTTTGTGAATGATAATACGTTTTCGTTGAGATTTAATCTTTGGTGATATTCTGTTTTTTATGCATGAAGGATATGGAAATAACGAACAGTATTCGATCTCAATGTCCATTAAACAAATATGCAAAATAAGTGCAGAGCAAACATGGACCTCCGAAACATCAGAGGTGGGATCAGGTGCCATGGAGGAGTGAGCATCCCCTACTGACCCTTCACACCCAAATAGAAGAAAACACTTGATGTGACCTTCAACTCCACATTTAGATATATATTGATGACGTATAGTCAATTAACAGTGGTAATTTCCATTTTTGCATTGATGGGATATATCCTGGTATGCTTTAGGTAAAAGATACCACAGATTTTGACAATTTATTGTATTCTTGGATATTTTATTTGAAAAAGATGTGAATGCATGGTAATCTAACATCTAGCTATGTTATATGATAAACATGATGGATTTAACATTTTTATCATCAACTTCCCTGATTTATATAGCAATTTACCTTCATCTGCTTAATACGGAGTGTAGTTTATTCACTTTGCAAGAGCTTGTTCAGCGTATGAACAATTTCAAAATGGGTGTTATTATGGAGGATATGAAATTGTGTATAGTTTGGAACAATGGTGAGAATGTCAACTAAAATAGTAAAAATTAAGCTAATTAGAAGTTTCTCACGGCACAGATGTGGGCAATATGTTAATTGTCTTATTGTTATCAACAACAATTTTAAGTCCTTTATGTTGTTAATTTTGTAATTAAGTGGATCTGAATGTAATCCCATTACATAGCCCCGAGACAGTTACGATCCCACTGAAAGTCCAAAGTAAGGGTAAAACCATCGTATTTTTTGCTTGGGATGGAAAGGGTACGTTACTTTAAATCATGACTCACATGTTGTATGGAGTTTAAATTTGTACTATATGAATGTTTTGAATATCTGAATTAAGCTTGAGGTTATTGTTAAACTGTGCTGAGATGTTGTTGTTTGGTATTTTATCAGGCTTTGCATTTAAGTGAGCTTTTAAATTTTTTTAATGATACTTCTTCATTTTTTTTTTAGTTTTTTTTAAATACATGGTATATGCATTTTTTCATGTGAATACACCTCTGCATATTTAATTTTTTTGCACATTTAACGTTTTTAGTTTGGGTGTAAAGTGTTTTTATGACTGTGCTTGAAGGGAATATCTGCATTTCATATTTAGGAAAGTCTCTAAATTGTAACTTAAATGGTTGTTTTCTTTGTGCTTGTCTCAGTATGAGAATTATATAAGCTGTATGGGATGTGGGTAATTTGAATCTCAGTTTGTATGTTAATTTACATGGATTGTTTGACATTCAATATTTTTCTTTTTATATATGCACGTACAATTGAAATTTAATTAACTTTGGAATTCGTAAAAGCCTTGACCTCTAACAGATGACTTGGTCTTGTGATCCATAATAAATATATATTAATGTTTATGAATTGTCATCTATGGCATTAATTTATTTCTTTGTTTTAACTTTAATTATGGCTAATCGTTTTTTAGGTTCATGTGTGTGTTTTATTTATACATATAAAGTCATTGTATTGTATGTGTCTGGTTCACGTTATTAAAAATAAAATAGCTTCAGCAAGAGTTATTTCCCTTATCATATGTCATTGTTAAACAGTTGTTTGTGACTGGGTTTTGTTTGGATTATCAAATTTTAGTGCAAAAATTTATGGTGAAAACATTGTGAATGTGTAAAAATGAACATCGTAGTTATATATCATCAGCTGAGTTTATGTGTTCTCTAATCTTAGCAGCGCCATCTTGTGGAAAATCTCTTCCGTTCTACTTGTATTGGGTGGTATCGATATCTAACGTTATGCTTAATCACGGAAATTTTCTGTTTATTTAAAAGTAAGGCTCAATGTCAAAATAATTAGTCATGTTCTGGGAATCACATTTTCAAAAGCGATAATAAAGATGACGTGGAGTGCATTTACTAACCTAAGTTCAAGCTAACTGATGTTTACAAATCAACTTTGGTACGTCACTACGTGGATACAATATTCATAGTTTTTCAAACCCGATGTGAAAGCGTTAAATGTTATCTTTCACAGAAACAAACAATATATCTGTATTAAATAATTTTATTTCAATATTTGGTATGCTTTCATAATTGTAGAACAGGTGTGTTGTGTTCAGAATTATACCTGAATACACGCCATTGTGTGGACTTTCATGTTGAAGTAGGTTAGGTAACATTGTTTGTAATTTGTTGTTCAATAACTTTTTCATTTTCATATTTGATGTGGTTCTTATGAATGGGTAAATTAATTTGGATCGTTTTGCTTGAAAGTTGTGTTTAAAATTTAAATAAAATCATGTTTTATAATTATTCTAATTTGTTGTATTTGGTTTTAAAGTTTCATTTGACTTAATTTGTACCTATTTATGGTAGTTTGTTCCTAAACATAAACTTAAATGTAGAAATTTTAATAATGGGAAGTCTTTTAACTGGTTAGCTGTAAATTTTATCGTTTTTTCCTTGAAGAATGCTTGTAAATTTCTTTAAGTAAATTGCAAATGTTTTGTTTTTTGTCTTAATAAATTCTGCTGATAATAACGAATCCAGAAATATATACTTTTTGCATATTTTACGTTTTGTATGTAGTTTTATTGCTGAAAAACTCGTTCTTCGAAAGCACAAACGCGGATCAAACTCCATTTTTGAGGCTTTCATAATAGGGTGTTTTCAGCGAGGTCCGCGCTTATTCTATATAAGGAGACGCCTCTCGTACTCGGGTTAGTTCCCGTTAACCAATACTGCAGAGCGAAGCTGATAGAAGGTAAGGGTTTTCTTTGGGATGTAATAATATGGTTAATATAAGTAAAGGCCTTAAAATGAACTGGATTTTTTTACTTTGTCTATGACATTGAATAAGGATTTAATCGTTATGTTTAGATTAACTGTATTCGTGTGATAACCGTTGGTGCAGAAAACATGGCGTCGCCGTTAAAGAAACTGAAGAGCGATGATGTAAGTACTTTTGTTGCTTTTCCTTTTTCATTTTTAATTAGTTTTTTTACACGACACTGAAGGATTATATTTGATCAGCGGCATTATTCTCCCCCCCCCCCCCCAAAAAAAAAAAATAGCGGGGGGGGGGGGGGGGGCCTTTGTTTCTGACAAAGCAAAACAAAACCAAAAACTCTGTAGGCATTTCTGGTTTATTGGATTAGTAATGGAAAATTTAATAGGTTTATTAGGAACAAAGTCTGCATTAATGTTTTTTCAATTTTTTATTAATTTATTGTGCTTTTTGCATAAGGGTTTTTTTTTACCTTAACTTTTTTTGATTTATTATTACAATATATGGGTTTGGTTTTGGTTTTATTGGGAAATTGTCTAAAATCTCATGAAACTTGTCAGATAGCTAAGCTTTGGATTTGAGACCTTTATTTAATTTGTTATACTATTAAAACAATAGTAAACTTTGTTTTGGACATTAAATTAAGGTTTAATTATTTGGTGGTTACAAGATCAACAGTGAGCATTTCTGATCGACAGTGAGCATTTCTGATCAAATTAGTCCATCTTTTGTCATTGTTGGTGTCTTTTGAATATTAATTTATGAAGGTATATTCAAGTGTTTGAATTTAATTTAAGGAAGATAATTTGGACTAGTTAAGGTGATGTAATATGTGTAATATTTGTGATGTTAGTAATGATACTTGGTATAACAGATAATTTATTTCTTAGGGGTGGGGACACTTTATGAGGTCAAAGTTTAAACTTTGACTTAAATTTGTAAATTATTTTTCTAGAGAGAAATCATAATTTGCCTGTAATCTTGTTAAATTAATTTGAGAAATTAAAGCAGTTTAAAGCTAAAGCCCATACTAGTCATATATTATAGTTGTAAATGTTGTAAATTATAAGTAACAATTTTAAACTGAAATGTAAAACTATATGAGATGGGTTGTGAAAGTCTTTGGAAAACTTGATTTGAAATATTTTCTTCAGCATATTATTAACTTACTATAAATTAAATGTAATATTATCTGGCTATTATTGAATTTTTATACACTAAATATTTGCATAAGAAAGGGCATAATGATTGTGGAAATACTCCGGAAATAGTGATTTACTGAAATTTAAAGTTAAAAATAGTAATCAATACTTTATATATATATATATTTTTAAAATGATTTTTGAGGCCAAAATTCTTTGTTTGTAGTTACCGATCTATAATTTTCAGGTTGGGTTGGTAGGTAGTTTTTTTTTTAGAAAAAAATTGAGATATTTGTTAGATAACAAATAAAAGAGGTTTTGATACACTTACCAGAGATGTATAAGCTGACCACTTTTTATAAACCACAGATTGATAAAAAACGTTTCAAAATTTGAAAATTTTAGCATGTTTAGAATTTGAATATTCTGAAATATTGAAATGAAAAAAAAATTATAATTATACCTAATGGCTGAAAAAAGTTTGGGTCGGGTGCATTTTATTGGGTCGGTAGGCAAATGCAAACATACTTAATTTTATTTTTGGCCTGAGAATAATGTTAAAATTAAGCCATATGATGTAAGTACTATTTGAGAATTATAAAATGCAGCTGTGTAAGTAATTTACAATAAGAATGAAAATGGTTAGATTTTCAGGGCTTTAGTATATGATTTGCTAAATTGTGCTGGCATTTTTTTTCCAGCAGGTACACTACTATGTTATTAATTGTTCATGAACTTTAATTTAATAATTTAATATTTGTGTAATTAGTTATATTATTTAGAAATGGTATTTAGCTACAAATATATATTAAAAATATCAATTGAAAGTGGGCAATATATAATTATATATTTAAGGTGTTCAATATTCAGCGTAAGCTATATTTTGACTTTAAAAGTTAAACCTGATATCCCAGCTATGGAATTTTAGTCTTATAATAATGGAATGTGGAACTAAGAATATATGGCCAGAGAAAGATTATTAATAGTTTCTCAGGTACCGACGCATCAGTTAAAAAACAACCACATTGATCAATTTTATTGACACATTGGAAAGGGAAATAACTCGATTTTTTATTTTTTCTTGTTGGGAAAATTTCCCCTCTTCATAAATGTTTAAATTGAATTTTTTTGTTAATAGAAAAACCAATAGATTTCTTCTATATTTTCTGTATATTATGAATTAACTTTAAAATAAATGTTTGGATTAACTTTAATTAAATTTGAATACATTTTACCCCAGAATAATTACCATTTTCAAAGAAATAAAATTAAGAATTGGTAAATATTATCTTTTTATTGAACAAATGGTTTTTAAATGGTGCTAAACCTGCTTTGAAAAGAGCCTGCCTGCAGCTTTAAGTTTTTTTGTTTTTGTTTTTTTTCGCCTGAGAAACTATTGATTATTTTTTTTGGTTTTTAAAAACTTAATTAAGGATCATCCGTTTTACCGGCTCCGCTTATGCGTCGCCAGTTAAAATCAGTTTGCAAGTGTTAAATTGGCATTAATGGTTGCATATACCAAATTAAAGATAGTTATTCCTTAAATCAAAGAGTGTTTTACAAAATAATTGCATTAGAATTTTGAATTGAAACCCTGTCAAAATATGGCTGAATTTATTGTCAACTTGGCATGAAACAATAATAATCCATGAAATACAGTTAAACAACAAAATTGTAAGTGATCAATAATTAATATGTAATATTTTTTAATGTCTGTATTCTAGTTAAAAACATTAAGAAAATTTAATAAAAACACTACCTAAAATTCTTAGCTATATGAATAATTTATCTAAACATTTCTAGTATTTTTATAATTAATCAGCAATATAGCCCAAATTCAAAAAACTAGCAAAATAAATCAAGTCAAATTTTTTAGTGAAAATTGACTATTAGTATTATCTTATCAAAACTTACCACGGTTACATTCCTATAAAGTTCAATAAATATATTCCAAATGTTCCTCAAAAATCCTTTTAACTGGTTCTTCTTAAGATGAAACTAACAAGTCATTAGTTAATTTTATTTCTTCCAAGCCATACAATTCCTTACCCCTAAAACACGACTTCTCTAATCAACTTATCAAATCAACATACCAGAAAGCACATATATCTCGAAACATTTTTATTAAGTCTAAGTAGAAGATTAAGTATATAAGTAAAATTTTATCTGAAAACTACATACATGGCGACTTTTCTGAATGGAAGTAGTTTCCAAATAAACTCTAGATTAAAATAAGTTAAGTAATCTCCATGCATGTAACACAACAAATAACACATTTAACTCCAAAAATCTTTTACGATCGGGCTCGATGTACACCTTTTACGACCGCCAAGTTTGCTAACATTTCACAAGTTTACAAGGCTATATACCTGCAATAGTCTACTTAAAACAACTTAAACTGCAAGAAAACAGGATTCTGTCCATAAATCTATGGTTAATCTACTACGGAAGACCAATCAAAATCCCTGGCACTCGAAGTAAGCTCAAACAGTTTCACAACTTAACTACTGCTATAATCAGCTGATTTCAATATGTACACGTTACAAACTATTTCAACTCATGTAAATCTGTTAAACTTGTCAATTATCACCTTTCAACAACATGTAAAGCATAAATTAATACATATTCTTGCATTGTCAATTAACTAAAACACAAAAGAAAAATCATCTCAACCTCGTACAATGTCAACAATAATCATGTTCAATAACTGTATAAAACTAATCTGTCAGGCTGTCAATTCACTAAGCTGTTACAAAATATCGATCATCATTCATTCAAAGCCACATATATTTATTATTTACCACTTGTTAAAATGGCTACAACATTATTTCAATAAATCTTAAGCTTAGTGACTAGCACAGGCTAGACCCTCTGTATAGGTTAATAGCACTTAACTCATTGATAGTTATAATTAATAGTCCAACAATACAAGTAAATGGCAGCCATATGCAGAAAATTCAATTTTTGTAGGCAGTTGTAAGCTAGGTTCTTGTTTATTACATTTATTAGGACATTGAAATCAACATTAAAATTTTCTCTTGAACCTAATCAAATTACGCCAGAAAACCACTTTGATCTGCAAACGAAACTGTCTGGGGAATCTATCTTGTCCTCAGTCCTATACATGTACAGATATGTGACATAACTGCAAAGAAACTGGTAAGGGATTAAAGACTTCTAAGGAAAACTGCTTATTCCCAACACCCCAGCAGTAACTAGAGAGCAATAAATACCTAACTCCTGGAAACTGTTTGAAAACTTCTAAAAAATTTTAAACTGCTAAAGAATTGCTTAATAACTGCCCATATATACAGCGGCGGATCATAATATTATAAACAAAATGGCGTCGTCGCGTTATTAGCAACATACGGATCCGGTATATAAAAAAACGATTTCTCCATTATAACAGATTTGTATAAATGAAACTTACCTAATATTTTGTGGCATACCCCTTTGATCTTATAATCTTGATCATTCGTTGTGGAAGTGATCTGTAAAGGTTCCGTATATAATGAATGGGGATGGTGGTCCATATTCTCCGAATTTCTTGTTCTAGATCCGCTGCGTTGGTAATTCTGTTTGCACATTTTCTAAGCTGATTTTTCAACAAAAGCCAACAGTTTTCAATTATGTTAGCATCCGGAGATTGGGCAGGCCACAGCATTCCTCGAATATTATTTTCAGTTTTGTAATTTAGCACAATCCTTGCGCGATGTACTGGCGCATTGTCATCTTGAAAAATAAAGTCATTCTGTGGAAAATGCTGGGCAACAACTGGCCACAGTTCATTATCAATTATTTCCCTGTACTTTTCAGCTTTGATATTGCCATTGACAACTGTCAAAGTACCTGGTCCATTCCAGCAGATACATCCCCATATCATTAGACTAACCTTTGCGCCACGACTGGGGCTAATGCATTGCGGCATCCACTCCTCTCCGGGTCTCCGCCACACATATACGCGATTATTTTCTCCAATAATCACCTTACATTCATCAGAAAAAATAACACGATTCCAGTCACCA